CTGGCAGGCCCATCCAATAAGGAGTGCATGGGAGGAGCAGAAAGTAAGGTAACTTCTGACACAAGCATATAGAGTAGGAACATTTGTTAAGGACTACAGTGTCTCTGGTTAGGTTGCTGTTGGACATGAGACAGCCTATTAGGGAATCTTGGATGAAGTCCAGGAGGTAAAAGAGTACAAGACCTCCACATCAAAAAGTTGGAGTCCAAGAGTCCAAAAGCATTTATTCCATCATAGAAATCCAAGGTACCAAGTCATCATGTTTCGGGGAGTAAAAGCGTAACATCAAGATGGAGAAAAGGAGTTGGTTGGAATTGTGTATTCTGGAATAAAGTATTTGCTACTGGGAGGGCTTAAGCAGCTCATGGTTTTAAATAGGGATGTTCAGATACCAAGTACCATACTCGGTACAAGTACAGATACATTTCCAGCTCCAAGACTAGACTAGAGAAAAACGTAAAAGTTAGGAGGCCGCTGTCATGTGTAAGGAGCACACGGAGCTCTTGGAATTTGTACATCGCTGTTGTAATGTATGATTTCTTTTTTTATAAATATATATAAGGGATGCACCGATACCATTTTTTCAAGTACGAGTACTGATACTTGCCCAAGTGCTCACAGATACAAGTACTGACACATTTTTGTTTATTGTCATGTGCCAGTTTTTCTAAAACAATACAGACTAATGATTTCAGGACAGTTGTGGAGCACCGGAGCCAGGTCCCAGCTGCAACCGCTGCAACCCTGGTAGTTCTCGTGAAAATGCCTGGTAGTATTGGCTCTGGTATCTGAACTGGTATTTGAACACCCCTAGTTTGAAAAGCCTCAAAACCATTACATAAGGAAAAGGTCTTTACCTATTTTGTTACCACACTACAAAAGAGGAGTTGGTAAACCCGTACACTGAGGACAGCCGACCTTACAAGTATATTCAGCGCTCTACATTGTTTGTGAGACTTGCTGTCCTAAGAGGAATCAGATCATACCTACATGTCCGCTCACACTCTAATGTTAATGGTTGGCCTTTGTGTGGCCCCATATTGGCAGATATCCATCTGAGAACAATGAGTGGTGACACAGCTCTCTGTCACCACTCAGATTCCGCCAAAGAAAAAGGTACAAAAGTTTCTGGTTGCACAAAGGTTTTTCTAAGGTGCCAGGAAATGTTGAGATGTGACAACAAACTCTTTGGATGATCAGAGGTCCTCATCACTTATTAATCCATACCCTGTCTGACATGAGCAACTGATGGTTGACTCTTCTGTATTATTTCTTATCATCTGGATTTGTATGGATACACTTACCAATTAATTACGGTCTAGTACTGTCAAAAGACACCTTCAGCTGTGGAACCATCAGATATTTTCGCCCAAAAGCCACAACTGTCCCTCGGCATCCTCACATCCTATACAGTGTATGGAACATGATGACTCAGGGACCTTAGACCTCTGGAGTAGAGGGGGGCGAGGCGGCAGGAACTGGTCTAACAGCAGGGCTGCCGCTAATGATTATTTTCATAATCGATTAGTTGCCCGATTATTTTTTCAACTAATCGATTGGTTGTATTAAAAAGAAAATGCATTCTCTCTCTAACTAATCGATGATGAGAATAGTAGCCAACTATTCTCATCATCGATTTAGTCGATTAGTTGTTGCAGCCCTATCTAACAGCCAGCTGGCTCTGAGGTTCAGGTGAGTATAACTTTTTTATTTTCCTCTCTAGACGAAAACGAGCATTTAACCCTTGCAGTGCGAGAGATAAGAATAATTATGCCTGGAGTTCTGCTTTCAAAACTGGGCAGATCTTGTTGTCAATTCTGCTGAGGTTCCCTCTACATGATGAGACTGCCAGACAACACGAACTGCATTTGTACAACAATCTCCCAGTATATGATATATCAATGATTGCATCACAGGACTGAGAATGGCATTACAAACGATTAGGTTAATAGACTAATACTCTATTCCTCTCTGCTAAAAGGCAAGCGATGAATAGAGAATGTATAGCACCATGTGTTGCTGCTTTGCAGGCAGTAATAAGAACTCGGTCTGACGATCGGAGAATCGATTGTTTGCGAGTGTTCAAACAATCAGATCTTGCTGTGTATGGTCAGATTTAGGCAACTGAAATGGCAACTCTATTTGGAACTTGCATAAAAGTAGACAAACTCTTTATTTTCACATAAAAGCAGGTGCAGGTTGAAAGGCAGCCAAGGAATAAACAATGACTTCTAGTGAAGCTGTGCCTCGGGGTCCTACTTAAACAGTCTCAGACGGGGAAGGGCCGCTTCCAACGTCCACATAAATGCTGGCAAGACACAGCCCCTCTGTGCTCAGCAATTACCTTTTATCAACTTTCCAAAGATTTCAACTGCAGCCTCAAACTCCGGCCAAGCTTCCAGTGTGGACACTGACAATTCTCCTCGGAGAAGAGGGCTTCTGCTCAGCCACGGCAATGGAGAACGTCCTACAATGCTTTGTACACAAGACCCAGAGCAATACACAAAGCACTTACTGATGGCCTGACTGTGCTACAGCTCTGACCACTGGCAGAGGACCAGATGAATGTCTGGATATACATGCAGGGTACGAGATGAATGTCTGGATATACATGTAGTGTATGAGATGAATGTCTGGATATACATGCAGGGTACGAGATAAATGTCTGGATATACATGTAGGGTACTAGATGAATGTCTGGATATACATGTAGTGTATGAGATGAATGTCTGGATATGCATGTAGTATATGAGATGAATGTCTGGATATAGATGCAGGGTACGAGATGAATGTCTGGATATACATGCAGGGTATGAGATGAATGTCTGGATATACATGCAGGGTACGAGATGAATGTCCAGATATACATGTAGTGTACGAGATGAATGTCTGCATATACATGCAGGGTATGAGATGAATGTCTGGATATACATGCAGGGTACGAGATGAAGCGGAGAGGAGTTGCTCAGTCTACTCAGTCTATAATTTTGGTTTCGGTCTTGGCAGCACCGCCAATGCAATATTTTTCTAAACATTTTTTCCTTGAGACAATACTTCTATTTCACTTTTTTTTTTAATGGGGATCTGCAAGCAGCAACCTATACAATACAAACACAGAAAGCTTGCCCACTGGAGCTACGCACACACCACCCGACACTGTGCCACTGAGCCTCCATACACCCGAAAGGAAGCCAGTAACTGTGATACATTACACAAAATAAACCAAATTACTTTTCTGATCCTGCGCACACTTAATATACAGCAACCCCCAGATTGACAGAGTCCAATCCAAACCACTCGTCCCTCCTACACCTATATCTCCAAATATGCCAACACCTACTCTCCGAAACTGAAGCACAACAAGCACTGGCGAAATGAACCTACTCAATCTGGGCCCTCACACATCCAGTACTAAGCACTGCGCCAACTCAACCCACGCAGACTCATACTCCAGGACCAGCATATACTAACACTAAGCCACTTACTATGAAGAACTAAGCACACCTAAAATCAATATAATGAGTTCCCAAGAGGAACACACACACTCAGAATTAAAGTACAAACGTATCTCTTGTTCCTACACGAAGCCTGTACAAAGCACCTCACATATCTGGAACTACAATCACTTTTTCTATCTCTAGACCTACAAATGAGTACTTTCAGCCTCCGTCCTGCACTTACCCTTCAAGTCACCTACTGCTCTGAGGGTAAATGTAACTAAATGTGCCCAGTGTAGGGCCACTTACTGCTTAAGAACCCCATACCCCTCCCACCTGCTGCTTGCTTCCATCTGTGTAGTCATCCATCTCATTCAACTCCTGGACCTGCAAGAATCCAAAAACTGGACCATCTACCTTCCGGGACCAACACATTTCAAACATCTCATGGGCAAGGCCCTCCTAATCATCTTGTTTTGAAATTGTAATGTAACTGTAGTGCTTTCCCTATATTGTAAAGCGCTGCGCAAACTGTTGGCGCTATATAAATCCTGTATAATAATAATCATCATCATCATAATAAAGCTCCTTACTTAAGCACACCCTACTGGTGGTTTAAAGATACAAAAGAGCATAAAGCTTGGAAAAAAGTGGAATCGATAGAAGTCTAATTACTGACTAGCTCTAAAAGAATTACCAGCATTATAAAATCCTATAGGTCAAAAATCAGAATTCAAGTCATTGGGTCAACTTGGCCAGTCAAGTCCACTGTAGCAGCCAACAGGCTTGTTTTTAGAACCAGGGAACATATACTTCTATACAATATAAAAAGGATCTAAGCCTAGTAAGCACACCGCTGTTCTATTTCTCGCCGCGCAGGGTATCTAGCCACTGGAATTTGGTCCAGCTCTACTATAGCTCCCTGATTAAAGCAAAATACAAGCAGCATCTAAATGGCAGAACACATTTTATGTTCATACAGAATATAACAAAATGAAATTCCTATTTGTTTTAACACACTTGACTTACACAGAACATCTTCAGTACAAAACCTTAATCAATGGGTTTGATTTATGATAACTGGAGCCGTTGTTACCAGATTCTAGTCTCATTTAGATGAAAACCGATTGGTTAATATGTGCACCAGCTCTGCTCCTGTCCCATTCATAAATCAGCCTCATTGCCCTTTAACGTTCCTAAAAGATAAGACCACTAAGCTGATGTTTTAATTCATTTTCACTCATTGCCCTTTACCATTCCTAAAAATTAGGCTACTTAGCTGATGTTTTAACTCATTGCCCATTAAAGTTCCTAAATAAACTACTAAGCTGATGTTTTAACTCATTGCCCTTTACCATTCCTTAATATTAGACTACTAAGCTGATGTTTTAACTCATTGCCCTTTACCATTCCTTAATATTAGACTACTAAGCTGATGTTTTAACTGATTGCCCTTTACCGTTCCTTAATATAAGACCACTAAGCTGACATTTTAACATGCACCACACCTAAAAAGTTAAACGAAAGAGTTTGTTAAAAATTCGTCAAGTAGCTCTCGCTTACCCCATCCATTCGGTAGTTGTCCAAGAGGATCGGCGTCTGGTGCGCCAGCCGGGGACTGCGAACAGAGAGACAGCAAGGCAGAAAGTGAGGAAAGGGAAGCAGGTAACTGGACAGGTCCCCTCTAGTGACAAGGACAGTGCTGGACTGGAGGCTGCCCTGAGCAGGAGATGCCATGTGCTTTGCAGACGTCCCCAGCTGGACTCAGCTCTCGCACGTCCGACTTGCTCCCAAACCAGAGGGGAAAATATTGCAGGCCTTTCAAATGAAATCATTCCCACAAGCCACCAGTAAACGCCCAGCTCTTCCCGGCTCTGGGCTCAGATCCTGGCCCCCCTTTCCAACACAGACCCCCTCTCTCACCTCCTCCCCTCCCAACCAAAGCCAGTCCCTTGGCAGAGCGGTGAGCAAGAGTAGCCCAAACTGAAGGAATATTCAGCAACTTATAGGCACCGCTGCTGCCCCCCTTCCCTTGGATCCTGGCTTACAATGCACCTTTATTCTCCTGCAGTGAGGGGATGAGAAGTCCCTGGGGGGAATACAGGACCGTTCTCCACTGTGGGCAGTTTGTATCGACCTCCTGAAAATGATCCCCCACAAAATACCAGCAGCAGTTGTGAAAACACATGTAATGGGCATTTGTGCATTCTTACTCCGATGAAACAGAGCTACGTTGCACTATTCAATACTTGAAGAAAAATGGGGGAATGTGTGGCATGTATTTCCATTGCCTGCCCAGTCATCTCATTCATCTGTGTGTTACTAAAATAAAAAAAAATCATCCCCGCGGCTCGAAGGAGAGATTAAGAAAATAGACTATACATACCATGTAAGGCATTTATAACATAAAACCAGGCCGTTCCAGAGCTTGGAGCAAGCGATTGCCAAAAGTGCGAGCTTATTGCGCACAAAGGTAATGCAGCTTTTAACACCTATGTATTATCGAGGTGGACATGTGTGTGCGGTTTTGTGTTTTGGGTTTTTTCCATGCAAAGTTGGGAAGAAGCATACAAGAACATGTCAAAGCTTTAACATTTAAGATTTTACTGATTTTTCATGATACAGAAAGGGTGCGCCTCCCTATTATTAGAGTGTATGTAAACCTGAGATCTGTTTTGGAATATATTTGGCATCATGGCTCCCTGTGTACAGTTTTCTTGAGCAAATAGTTTTTTGGAAACATGTTACAATGTTTCTTACCCAGAGATCCTGCCAGTGACAGCAATTTTCTGCCTGACAACATTGAGTCGCTGCCCGGCAACTGGCAGCAGAGTTGTCACCCTGCTGGGGGTGCGCCTTTATGGCCCCTTCACACCAGACACAGTGTGTTCCGGACTCATTCTGGACGGAACGCACTGGATCGTATTGCGGCCGGCTCACTTTGTTGTGGGGCGGGAGGGGGCGTGGGGGTCCATTGAATTGAATGGCACCGCAGCCACACCCTCTGGCCACAATGCGATCGGCCGCACGGGAACGCACGGCTGATCAATGCCTGCGTTCCGGTCAGAAAAAAATTGTGCTCGCAGCATTTTTTTGGGACTGGACCGCACTGCAGGCATTGATGTGCCTTGTGTTCCCGTGCGGCCGATTGCATTGCAGCGAGAGGGCGTGGCTACGATGCCATTGAGTTCAATGGAGTGCCACGCCCCCTCCCGCCCCACAACAAAGTGAGCCGGCTGCAATGCGATACAGAATCAGGCTGGAAGGTGTGAATGGGCCCTTAGGATTAGTTCACACCATCTGTATTAGGGCTGTGCTGGCCGTTTTTTCCAACACAGCCTGAACACAAGACAAGGAGATTTGTCATGGATGGTGACAGTTCACACCACTGCGTTCAGGTGGTGTGCGCCTAAAAAGAGAGGCAGATTCACCTCTCTGTATCAAAAGCTGAGCTCAGCAGTCACTCTACGCTCTCCTCCTATCAGCAGTCACTCTACGCTCTCCTCCTATCAGCAGTCACTCTACGCTCTCCTCCTATCAGCATGGTATTTTTAAATAGTTGATCCAAAGCATGGGGCGGGGGGGATAGAATGCATGAAAGAGATAATGGATGAGAAGAGATGATGGTGAGGGTTAGAACAAAGAATGGGGAAGGAGAGAAAGGGAAAAGGAAAGCGAAAGCAATATAAAGACAGAGCAAAGAGAGAGAGAAAGGACGGAGAGAATGAGAAAGAGCATGCTAGAGAATTTACAGGTACCTGGGAAGGACTGATTTATTACTATTATAGATATTTACATAGTGCCGACAATTTGCACAGTGCACATTCACATCAGTCCCGGCCCTCAAGGAGCTTACAATCTAGGGTCCCTATCTCACATACATACAGGCCAATTTAAACAGGAGCCAATTACCCTTCCAGCATGTCTGTGGAGTGTGGGAGGGAACCACACAAGCACAGCCCTACAAGCCATGTACTGCTAAAGAACATGTTACATCATAACTAAAAACATAACACACCTTTCCACTTCCTCTGCATGGCGTGTCTTACCTGGTACAGGTAGCGCTGACTCAGCTGCTGCATTGCCCCCTGCAACTGGTTCCTCTGAGACTGCCATTGCTCGTAGTTGCGGACGTATTCGGCCGTAGGTCTCTGCCACGTCGTGGTGCGAGTGTTGTGGTCGACGTAGTAGTATCGCCCTCGACTGTCCACCCGCTTTTCCCATCTGCATGGAGAAAACACAAATGCTCAGTCACTGCAGACACGGAAAAGGATTTGTACAGCAGCCCCACCACCTGCGTCGCTGAGGGCACATGGGAGCGACATGGAGAGCAGTTACGTTACAAAGTGTGATGTCTCACCCAGGCGGCAGAGGTCGTTCCCACGTGGTGGTCTTTGTGTTATGGTCTACGTAATAAACACGTCCGTTGCTCAGCATTCTCTGTTCCCATCTAAAACAGAAACGCGGACGTTAAAGGGAAACGATGATGGAAACGGGTATAATTAGTTTTAATCTAATATCAGCATTCGGTGGCCACATGAAAAATACATTGAGGGGAATTTGTCAAAACTGGAGCAGACAAAAACTGGAGCAGATCTGCACGGCAACCAATCAGCTTCTCTCTTTCATTTTTAAATCTTAACTGAACAAACTGAAGAGAGAAGCTGATTGGTTGTCAAGCACAGCTGCTCCAGTTTTGATAAATTCCCCCCATAGTTTTTCATTTTATTATCCCGCCCTGAATTCCCCTATCCAGGCTTCCAATATAAACCTGAAACATCGGCTCTCCGCTGCTAGCCCAACAATTAATGGGATGCTTCGGCGGCCAATAGAGAGGTGACGGCAGGGGTAATAAGATTGCATACCTGCATGTCTGTTAAAACTAAAGCTCAAGAAAAAAAAAGAGATTTATGATAGAGGTTGAAAAATGAATAGCACACCAGGACTGCTTGGCTCCCAACTAAATAGAACAGACAGAACAATCTTTGGTTCAAACTTGGGCAACCCAAATTTGGCTACACATGCCCATGCCCGACTCTGATCGAAACACAGACACAGGCAGATGCCGTTATTGACTATTTTCCACTCCTTGTGTTTATTATCAAAGTGATTAAAGGAGAACTATGAGGTGAGTGATTTCCACTCATCCTCATAGTTCTAGCCGACGTGTGACATCAGGAAGTTGCAGAACACCTACCGTCACTCACTCACTTCCCGGTCATCTCCCTGCAGTAAGCAGCGACTGTCAGTCACCGCTCCCCGCAGGGATTTCCCCCTACCCTCTCTCCGATCCTCCAGCGCTGACCTGCGGAATGGACAGGAAGGGGGCAGGCACAGCTGGCTCTGGGATCTGTCCCGGCTGCGGCGCTCTCAGTATATAACGGGCAATAGCTTGCTATATACTAAGCTTTGGGTCACGGGAGGGCTTCAAGCAATTAATCGATAATAATGAGAATAGTTGTTAAATATTCTTATTATCGATTAGTTGGTTGGATCCCCTAGCTCTCTCCTCCATGCTGGGAGGAGGGCACAGCAGCAGTGGGCGGGTGCAATAGCCAGCCTGCAATTTGAAATGGCCATAAGAAGGCTGGCTATTGCACCCGCCCCCTACCTGCTGTATTTACATTCAGCTGCCGTCTGTGGAATCTTGCCACTGGCAGCTGTCATTCCCGGGCTGAAGCTATTCAAGCGCCATGTGCTTGCAATACAATTATTTTTTTTTTTAATTATTAAAAGGTGGGAAAAAAAAGGCCTTTTCGGTTTCGGCCTGACAAATTCTGCTGCGGGAAGGTGCGTTGCAGTTGCCATTCATTTCAATGGCACCCCAAACTCTCCTCCCAGCCACAGTGTGATCGCCTGCACTGGATTGCATGGGGATCGCACAGCGTCTCTTTAAACTTGCAAACTCCGACTTGTAAATGAAGCTACGCAGTAACTAGCCCCATAACGCAGACAAACTAGGCAGATTGTGACATGTGTATGGTCAAAATGAAATCGACTTTGCCGACTTCCTCTCCACCGCATGGAATATTCTACTGAATCACAAAGTTGAATTAATTTACAGAATTTTCTCTCGGGCTCGGGGCCGCTGACAAAATAAAACAACTTTGTGCAAACAGATGCCAGGAGGGCTGCCAAGTCGCAGTGTAACCTGGTGAGTGTCTGCCACTGTGGCTTTGACTGGAAATACTGTCATCCTCGTGCCTGTGTCATGTCCAGCCCCACAGCAAAACTGGCACCGACATCTGAGCCGCGCCATGTCCCCGCCCAGCACACTGCATGCATTCTGTCTGCCGTGCGACTGCTTCAAAGCCTGACACACGTCGGGTACCTGTCTCTTATAGACGCTCGGCTGAGCCCATGCTAAGTCTACAGTTCCACAAGGAAATAGTGACATTGCTGAAACACGAGGGACTCTTTGCCCCGCTCCTGAGAAATGTGACTAATCCATGGCAAGTTATGAATACGGGTTCAGCTCCTTGACTAGTGTACAGGTACAACCTGATGCGCATTCCATAACACAGGGCCCCAACATATAGAACAGTGTCTAGGTAACCATTAGACCTTTTAGATTTTGCCTTTCATCGTATGAACTGCTCTGGAGGAAGGAATTGTTGGTAATTAAAGTGACCCTGTCAGGCTCTAAAAAAAGCTGGTAATGGCACTTCTTTGCAAGTGAAGGGGTACTATACTCCCCACTCCAGCAGCCCATGTCTCCTACCTTCACCAGACTCTTCGGCATTTGACACTTTCAGAAGTGTCAAATGTGGTTCATTCTCTGGTTCAATATGGTTCCATTCTCTGGTTCCTACTTACTAAAAGACACAACAATGATGTAAAAGAAATTCCCCGGAAACATACGTTTAATTGAGCAGTCTTCTAGCCAGGCATGTGATGTTTCAGGGTCTTCTCTCTGCGATGGTGGGTGGTCTTCAATACTGCAGTGAACAGCGCTGACATTATGACATCAGCACTGCTTCTTTCAGCCTTGTACTGCAAGCCCAGGGCCACATGGTACTGAACCCCCAGAGGGTGTGTCCATGACAGCTCAGGCTCACAGGAAGTGGTGTCACTGCCGACAGAATACAATTTTTGTATGCAAGGGTTCAGCGGCATGCAGCTTCACTACTTGCGAAGTGATGGGACCCAGAGGTTGCCGGAACGCACATTTGGTGGGAAAGAGGCACAGGATCTCAGAGCGGTGTCAACGATATGTCAGTGGCTCACAGGAAGTGGGTTATATGATGCTGGCCATCATTTAACCAGGAAGGCGAACAGCACTGGACCTCAGAATAGACAGTCTAAAGGGATAGCACCTCAGAGTTGCACTTTAAATGTCTACAAAAAACTAACAATTGCCGTGTGATATTTATTTTAGTAACTTGACTATTCTGATGAGAAAATGAGATAAAACAAGGTACACATTGAAGTGAATCACACAGCCAGACAGACAGCATAGCAGAAGTAAAACAAACACAGAGGTCAGCAGGGAAGACTCATCTGAGCTCACCGTCATAATGCTGCTGGGTCTGAGGTGCCCTGTGGGTAGTGCGACTCTGCCCAGCTCCTCTATGGTCGGGGCTGCAATAGGAAACCGCTGCCCAAGTGCCAGAGTGACGGACACACAGAGTTGCTTTGTACTGAGACAGAGAGGCCAAAGGCAGCCAACTCAGAAATTTTTTTAAAAAAAGGAAAAAACATTTGCACATCGTACCCACAATCTGCACCTTGCTAACACCGCAGTGAACGTACAGCGGGGGATGTAAACATGCGACACCCGACCGAAGACACGATTTCTAGAGGAGAAGCCACGAGATGCAAAGGAGGAGAGGCAATAAAAATGGCTGCTGCCGAGCCAATGTTTGCCTTTCCATTCCACCTAGTCTTTCCGTCTGTGTGTTCCACATTCTCCGTCTACCTTCTGCCTGGCTCGTCTCACACATCCTTGTCCTTGGGGTTTAGGCCAAGAACATTTATGTGACTGACACATTATTATTTAACTACTCGGCACTGCTGTCCAGCTAAGACGCTGGAGTTTAAAGGTGCAACAGTCTCCAAAACATATTAAGGCTAGGCTCAGATATCGGCAATCCTGGGACGTGCTTTCCAGGACAGCGCGATCGTGCACGATTGCCGCGCGGTCACGGATCACCATAGTGTGAACCTAGCCTAGAGCTTAAAAGGAGAATTATGAGGCGAGTGATTTTCACTCAGCCTCATAATCTGAGCCGACCTGTGACAATTAAACTGTCACAGGGCGGCTCAGTAGATCAGGAGGTGAGCGAACACATACCGTCCCTCGCTCACTTCTTGATCTATCCCTGCAGAGAGCCGTGACTGTCACTCACGGCTCCCTGCAGGGATTCCCCCCCCCTCTGATCCTCAAACGCTGACTGGCAAAACAGATGGGGGAGGGGGGCGGGTATAGCTGGCTCTGCCTCTAGATAGGCAGAGCCAGCTGTCACTCACGCAGCTGGGTGGATCCAGACAGCATAGTCGGGATCCATCCCGGCTGCGGCGTCTCAGTATACCGCGAGCTGTAGTTCGCGATATACTGAGCCTTGGGTCATGGGAGTAGAAGCATGTCATTGCTTCAGGAAGGGGATCCTGTGTGACCCCGAAACGGTCGTCTCATCTTTGTGATATGTCGCATTTCTTCAATGAAAAATACTTTTTCTTCACGTTTATACTGGAGTGCCGGTGTCCCTGCTTCTACTGTTATATGACGGTTGCCATCCGTCGATCACCGCAGCACCCGTCTGATTTCCTTTAGAGACAAGCGGTCAGGAGTGCGATGGGTCCATGCTATCTACTCTTGGGTCATGGGAGGACGCTAGTTTGTGTTCTCCCGTTACAATAGCCGCCACCATAGAGTCCTCTATTCACACTATTCAGCATCTCTAGGGGAATCTATACAAGTAACAGTAACAGCACCACACAACTGGTCAAACAGTCCAAAGTGATGCATTATGAAATAATCAGTAGAAAGAAAGACAATGCATTTCCAGGGTTAGGACGCTCCCCCTATATCAGGGCTTGTGTATTGTATGATTGCAAATACTAGTTGGACTCAAATGAATTGCAATATTGGTTATATATACGTGGAATGTCACTAGCAGTTTAAGCAGTGTGGACAAAATCTAATTTCACATATATACAACCAATATTGCAATTTGGTTGAGTCCAATGTGTGACATTATGCAATACAAAAGCCCCGGTGAAGGGGGGAGTGACCAAACCCATAAAACGCACTGGCTTTACTTCTGCTTATTATTTCATAAAACATCACTATGGTCTCTTTAATCATTTGTGTGTGGCACTCTTACAGCTTCTTGTATAGTTAGACTCTTCCCAAGACCCCACTTTATGGGGGTGTTTTGGTATAGACGCCGGCCTCAACAAGATAAGTCAGCTCGAGAAACTGGACAACAGAACCAGAAGATCTAGCAGAGGAATGGGCAACCTTGGCACTCCAGCTGTTCTGGGACTACAACTCCTATGATGCATTGCAGGACTCGGACAGCCTCAGGCATGACTCAGGGGTGTTTTGGTATAGATGACCGGCCTCAACAAGACAAGTCAGCACAAGAAACTGGACATCAAAAACAGAAGAACTAGCACAGGAATGGGCAACCTTGGCACTCCAGCTGTTCTGGGACTACAACTCCTATGATGCATTGCAGGACTCGGAAAGCCTCAGGCATGACTCAGAAAGGCAGAGGCATCAGGGGATTTGTAATGTCACCACAGCTGGAGTGCCGAGGTTGCCAATCCCTAATCTAACGCCTCTCCTTGTATATACTTCAATGAACCTACAGAAAGCTAAGCTATAGCTGTATCATGATACACACAGCAAATAAAAGTCTGCGATCCCGTAAATCCTTTTCTGAAAACCCTATTTTTAAACTCGTCATCCAAATATGGAATTTTAGTTAAAAAAGGAAAAATTCAAATAACAGTACAGAAAAAAAAGTAAAATAAATGTTTCTTTTTAGCCAGCTTTTAGAAAAGTGGTTTATTTGCTCACCCTAACCCTTTGAAACTGAGCATGAACCAAATCTCCTTGCAACATCTTATGTAGGATATGCGGGACCAAAGAGCTCAATGCGCTCACATAAAGGGGGTTTTCACAGTTCAGGCAGAAGTTTTCCAGGAGTTCGGAGCAGGAAGTGCCCAGTGTAGAGAACAGAGCCCCTCACAGAGCTGTACATAAAGAGGCAGTGATAGGACAACCCTAATTACCTGTGACTGACACTGCTCCCAGCCTCTGACCTCACACGCCAAACAAACAAGCGCTCCTGGGCCTCCTGTTAACCCTTCTTGGTGCAAAAGACAACGCGGCAGGTTGACGCCCCTTGCACACAAACAAACATACAAAGCGCCACACACCGGGACAAGGGTCCCGGGGGGCGTCATCATAACGCAACTATTTCTCTGCGAAGAGCTCCAGATGTGGCTGTTAATGGACAAAGGCAGCGAAAGAAATGAAAGTTCAGATCATGTATATATACACACACATAGTGTGTGTGTACATACAATATATAGATAAATATGGACTGAGCTCTATTGACAATAAAATGCTGAGGCTTTGACTTACCTTCACTGCAAGGCCCAGGAGTACCTCTATACCGACTTTATTAAAAAAAATGTGGATGTGTGAGATTTTATATATATATATATATATATATACATATATACACACACACACACATATACATATATACATATACACACACACATACATACTTACACCGTGTTTCCTCGAAAATAAGGCAACCACACTAGGTCTTATTTTCGGGGTAGGTCTTATTTTTTTTTATTTATGTACCAACAATCCAAAGTGAATGCAAATCCAAATTAAATAATCCAAAATGGCAAAGTTAAGAATAGGGTGACCAGGGCAATCAGGGGTGCCGTACCTTTCCAAGAGCATTTTGGTAACCAGAATGAGCGAAGCGCACTTTCTCTATGGATTCCTCACAGGCGGAGTGCATTTGGTATCACTCCGCCTGTGACAGGAGTCGGCGCTATAGAGGAGGCATCGGCTTATGCGGCTCTGCTCCTTCCACTGCCGCCTCGCTTCCTCTAGCGCTGGCTTCGTTGGTACCACTGATTCTCTCCCGCGGCTCTTCGAGTTCCCCCTTATGCCACCACCGGCCCTGGGAATGGTCACAACTAGGTCTTATTTTCGGGGTAGGTCTTATATTTTAGCAATTCCCAAAAATAGTACTAAGTGTTATTTTCGGGCGAAACACGACACACACACACACACACACGTCAAGAAAAAGTCATCATCACCTGGATTTAGCTAAGCAAATAGGTAAGAGCCTTCCATTGGATAGTAGGTCTAGTTTCAGCAATGTTATGTCCTCAAATATTGAGGTCAGCTGCCTAACCTGAATGACCAGGTTTTTCAATGGATTATCAATGGATTTTTTCATTCCTGATGGCACATTGGGCATATTCCAAGATGACAAATGCCAGGATTCATCGGGCTCAAATTGTGAAAGAGTGGTTCAGTGAGCATGAGACAACATTTTTACACATGGCCATCAGATAAAAATAAATAAATACCATCCTTAAATTTAAAATAAAATACACAAACATGGAGTTTACTTCAGAATAAAACTGCATGCACAATTTTTTGCAATTGCACTGCACTGGAATGCACGGCACTGCGGTACCGTGCGTTCCAGTGAAGGCGATCACACTGTGGGTGGGAGACGAAACCGAAAATGACTTTTTTCCCACCTTATATAATTTAAAAAAAAATTATTGTATTGTAAGCACATGGCGCCTGAATAGCTTCAGCCCGGGAATGACAGCTGCCGGTGGCAAGATTCCACAGACAGCAGCTAAACGTAAATCCAGCAGGTAGTGGGTGGGTGCAGTAACCAGTCTGCTGTTGGCCATTTCAAATTGCAATAGCCAATTGCAGGCTGGCTATTGCACCCTCCATTGCTTGCTGTGCCCTCCTCCTAGCATGGAGGAGAGAGCTGGGGGATCCAACCAACTAATCGATAATGAAAATAGTTGACAACTATTCTCATTATTGATTAATCGTTTAGTAGGTTGCAGCCCTACTGAAATCCGCAAAGTGTTTATTATCGGTAATAATGGTAAATATAACCGATAATTTAAAAACTTGGGAACATCAAGCCCAATAATCGGTCGATCCCTACCAGTGACATATCTAAGCCTCTGTGCTTCTCTATGCAATGCAGACTGGTAGAAGGGTCCATCAGATTGCTGTACATAGCTTTCTGAAAACAGGAAGCTGTGGTCATGCCCGCATTTGATGCTGAACTTTCATGAACCCAGAAAATTAATATTAAAAAAAAAAAAAAGAGTGGGCCAAAGACAGCCAGACTGGGAGGAAGGCACTAGATGATGCTGGATGTCCTCCAGCCAGGAAATGAGGTGGGCTCTATCTGACTTGCTGTAGCTTCTAATGCACATTGTGAGAAGCTCACAGTGTGCAATGAAATCAGAGTAAGCTATTTCAGTCCAGGAGAGGAGCCGGTACAACTGTGCAAGACTGAAGATAAGGTTGGAGTGCAGCTTTTATGATTCTGAACTGCATGCTCCGTGCCACTGCCCCTCCCTAGGAAACTAGTACACGTTACCACAATGACAATGCCCACTCTACATTCTTTCCTTTCTTCTAATCTATTTAGGGCAACAAAGACCGCAATTACAACTTCTCAGTATAAAGAAAGATCTCAGGTAACTGCAGAAGCTTTCTATATCCAACTCCGGGATATAGAAATATTGTCTAGCTACAAGGGTCACATGTCATCTTCTTTTATCCTGGTGACAGATACTGATGCTGCTATATTTCGGCGTGGACACCTTAGCTTCAAAAACAACTCTGGTCCCAAAAGGGTTAAAAGCACTCTTGCGTTATAAAAGCATTTCTAACCTGTTAGGAAAAGAGGTCCTAAAATGGAATTTTCTCTACAACATTATGGGTGTTATGGCGTTTTCCTGATGGAGGTTGTGCTAGCTGTGATGTATAAAGGAGGTTGCAGCACGGCGGGGTTTGGTGGGGGGTGCACAGCCCTGAATGCTGCATTATGGCTTTGCTTGAAAGCCGGCTTTCTCTCAAGACAGAGTCAGGCTGTTGTGAGCATCCGACAATCCACTACAGTCATACACAAGCTAATCGAGTGGAAGCAGAAGCAAGGCGCTGCACCCGGTAATTTGTAGTTCACAGATAAACAGTCTTTCATAAGGCCCAAAATGCCTATGTTCGCCAGCTTCCACAATTTGGGACCACCTGCATTTTGCATGGCTGCCCAATACATATATTAATTGCTAATATCTTCTGTATGTCTGTGGTTTTGACATGATCCAGGCTCAGAGTCCAAGTGAAGCTCCAGTGAAGAAGAATTTTTGGCCCCTGAAACGCATTAACTGTTTTCCGTTACCTTTCATGGATAAATAAAATACAGTTCTGGACTCTTGATGCATGTGTGTGCCACTTTTTCAGGTTTATTTACATGTGGATACACAACCTTATGGCCATGACAGCCTTTGTCTGCTCACAGTTTAGATCAGGCCTGGGTAACCTGTAGCCCTCCAGCCGTGGGGGAAGTTGCAGCAGGCCTCAGTCCCAATGTTTGCCATTCGTTCAGCTGCAGAAAGTCAGGTCATGCTGTGCATGCATCTCAGCCCTCCTGCCAGGCCGGTATTCAGTATTTCATGCATTGTCTTCTAATCTAACAGACTATCAATTACGTTTTCTAAACTATGAGGAATGTTTCCTCCTCTTGTATATCTAAGTGTTCACTGTTCATGCTGTATATGAGTACCCAGGGGAGCAATCATGTCTTCTCTGAAAGATTGTCCCTCTTGAGAGTTGTCCTGTACAGTTCCCATAGAGATGCCATGAGTACTTATAGCCTTGCACTCATGGAGAGGAATGGTAAAGCAAAATTGCTGTGTATCAGTACAGACCATGAAGCAGAGCCTGCATATGTAATAATCAAATATGGCTGCCTCCATGTTCATATATTGTATATATCTGTTAACTATACACAATGATTAACTATCCAACAGTGAGATCTCCCTGCCATAATTTCAAACTCTCCTTCCTCTCCACCTGGTAGTTCTGGTCAACCCGTCCACCTCCCCCTTCTTACATTCTTCATCATATAAAATATCCCGCAGGGATAGTGGGATCCCCTCATAGGGCCACAGCATGTTTGCAGACCTGGGGACTCAGCACATAGATATTAACGATATTCTCCCCATGAGATATAATAAGAAGTCAGGTAGTTTCACCCAATTTACCAACAACTAAAACAAAACATTTTTGATGAATTGCCCCTTTAATGAGCATCCTGCAAGTCTTACCCCGCCGGCAAGCCGTCTGAAGATGGAGTGGCTGAAGTGGATTGCAATGACTCAGCTCCGGAGGACTCCCCATTGGTCACAGGAGGTAAGCCTGACCCTGGCGAGGGCGTAGAGCTGGTCACACTAGTGGATAATGTGCCACCTGTAGAGATTACATCTATGGTGGGTGGTGCGTGGGAATGATCCCCATTCACTGCAATGATCAAGAAAAATAAACATTATAAGTATTTTGGTGTAAGAAGCCTCTTTTGGCAAATAATAAGATTTTCTTTTTATTTACTGGAATTGTTTTTTGTGTGCAAATATTGCTTTTAAAATCAAACTACTTACATAGGTCCTGCTTGGCCCATTATTTTATACCTGGTAGGGACACAGGCATCCTGTAAAATACTGTAGTAGCCGTTACTACTGTAAGTGCTTTACTGCGATCTTCTGGCTCCTGTACCGCAGCTGTGCTGAACCACTTCCCCTCTGTTGTGAAAATGTCCCATATGTTGGTCATTAATTTTACAGGATCCCCGTGGTCCTACCGAGTATAAGATATGAATCCCTACAGTTGGCCAAGCTGGATCAATGTCTGTATACATAAAAGTATTACGCAGAGTTCAGCTTTGAAGAGAAACTCAGGACAAAACAGCAAAAACACTGCTGAAATACAAAGAATGCCAAAAGAACTCCTAGTTCTGCTCAGCCAGTCTTGTAATGGACAGAAACCTCTGTCTCACTGCAGGGCCAAACAGGTGACACCTCCATTTCTTGTAGTCACCTGCCAAGTCCCTAAACAATGAAGCACTATCATCACAACATCACGATATATATAAGGTATAATGTATGTACTGCATGCCGTCCTTTTTTCAGCACGGTGGAATGCTATGCAGTTCACCTAGAGTTCCATTTTAATAAAGGAAAGGAAAAAAAAAACCCCATACATAATATCAAAGTTTTAAACTTTCCTTATTTGAGAGCTGTAAGCAATGCCCGTGTTTAACGTTACCCCATGAATGACCTCCGTGACTCAGGACAAGCTTTTAACTGCAGACGGGGTCACAGTTGGATGGAAATGAACTGCATGTAATGGATAGCTGGCGTCCAGATAAGACAGAAGTAGGATGTCATCATTGAGGACCAGATTCATTTCCAGTTACAAGCCCAAAATTGTATGGAACGTAGGCTCCCATCCAAACAGTGCCTCCGAAAAAACAGAGCAGGCACAGTCAAGTAGATGTTTTTATTTACATGCTGGTGGTTAAACGTTACACGGTGTCTGGAGTTCTCCTTTATAACCGTTTTCTTTCAGTGTGAGCATATATTGTGAAATGATCAGGAGGACATTTGTATCAAACAAAAATAAAAAGATATTTCTCTCCTCAAAATTGCCATCACAAGTACAGACACCAGATGTAAATCAAAGTTCTTACTGCTAGGTCTCCCCAGGTGCAGCACAGATTTGATGGCATGAGAGTCATGCCCCAGAGAAAAATTGCTTCCTCTACTTAAAGGAGAACTATGGGGTGAGGGCTTTTCCCCATAGTTCTCCTTAGGGTAACGGGAGGACACAAACTAGCGTCCTCCCGTCACCCTAAGCTCAGTATACCGCGAGCTGCAGCTCGCGGTATACTGAGACGCTGCAGCCGGAGCGGATCACGACATCGATGTCGAGATCCGCCCAGCTGTGTGAGTGACAGCTGGCTCTGCCTATCTAGAGGCAGAGCCAGCTGTACCCGCCCCCTCCCCTGTTCGTTCCGCCAGCCAGCGCTAGCGCATCGGAGCAGGTAGGGGGGAATCCAGCCCCTCCCCTGTCACGGCAGAGAGCCGTGACAGGATCGAGAGGTGAGCGAACGCCGGTATATGTTCGCTCACCTCCCGATCTACTGAGCCGACCTGTGACAGTCTCATTGTCACAGGTCGGCTAGAACTATGAGGTGAGTGAAAAGCACTCACCTCATAGTTCTCTTTTAAAGTAACTCTGTCACCAAAATCAATATTCCAAGTAAAGGGTTCCATGCAAAGAAGACAGCTTCCCCCTGCTGCCAAATCCGACTGAATCCAAATCTGCAGAATCCGAAAGCTCCATAGGAGTCCGATTTCAGGCTCCCCGCTTTGCTCAGGGCTTCGATCCGCCAGGAATCATCACCAATGAGACCTGTAGGGCTAGCTGAAGTTTAAGGACAGCAAAACCGCAAAAAACACAGATGTAAAACACATATGTTTTTTTTTTAGAAGGTAGCATCAGTCTTGCTGATAAAAGATGCGTTTACATGTGTTGTGTGGAGAGAAAAAAATGCAGCCTGCTCTATTTTTTCAAAATGCAGTTTAACACACTGGTGTGAACTACGCCATTGAGAACCAATATTTTTTGTGTATATCAAATGCATTGGGTGGGAATGGGCCCTAAATCTGCTAAATTCATCCCAGGTGCATCAAAACAAAGTTTTACAGCTCGTTTTCTTTAGAAAGCAACTACAGCCTGAGTAGAAAAGGCTTTCCCTAGGCAGCATGCTGCAGAGAAGGACCTCTCTGTGAGGAAGAAGCGGTTTCTCTGCAGAGGTCTGATATGCCCCCGTTGTAGTCAATGCTAGGGATCACCAAACAGCAGGGAGCATAAACCTTGCCGATTGTAGAGCTATAGGTCTGACTTAGTAGGAGGTGTGTGTATGAAACACACACACACACACACACACACACACACACACACAGAGCGAGGAGAAGAGATGAGATATCGAGAAAGAGAGAGAGCGAGGAGAAGAGATGAGATATCGAGAAAGAGAGAGAGAGCGAGGAGAAGAGATGAGATATCGAGAAAGAGAGAGAGCGAGGAGAAGAGATGAGATATCGAGAAAGAGAGAGAGAGCGAGGAGAAGAGATGAGATATCGAGAAAGAGAGAGAGAGCGCGAGGAGAAGAGATGAGATATCGAGAAAGAGAGCGAGGAGAAGAGATGAGATATCGAGAAAGAGAGAGAGCGAGGAGAAGAGATGAGATAATCGAGAAAGAGAGAGAGAGAGAGAGAGATAATCGAGAAAGAGAGAGAGAGAGAGAGAGAGAGAGAGAGAGAGAGAAGAAGAGATGAGATATCGGGAAAGAGAGAGTGAGGAGAAGAGATGAGATATCGAGAAAGAGAGAGCAAGGAGAAGAGATGAGATATCGAGAAAGAGAGAGCCAGGAGAAGAGATGAGATATCGAGAAAGAGAGAGCCAGGAGAAGAGATGAGATATCGAGAAAGAGAGAGCCAGGAGAAGAGATGAGATATCGAGAGATGAGCGAGAGAGATCAAGTGTGTCTGTATCTCTTCAGCATGCTGGCAGGGTAAAGCGCAGTGGCTGCTTTAGAAGAAAATACACTGTAGGACATTGGGCTCCTTTTGTTTTGATGCATTTAGTTGATTTAAACTAAAGGTTTAGTTGGTCTTTAGCACTTCTGTGCTCTCGCTAAACAAAAAATTGCCTGAAGTTTGGCTTTAATCTAAAATTTCTTCTTTCAATCAGTTTTTCTTACATATGAAATGTAAGAATTGTTTTCACTTTGTACTATTTCACCTAAATGTAGTAGATTGTACAGGTGCACAGTAATGTATGTGGCCCTAGTGAACCCCGTATTTTTTTTTTTTTACAAACCTGACTTACCCAGTAAAGTGATATCGCTGGAGCCATTCTGTGCTTTGGCTGATGAGTTGTTCTCGGCATTTTGAGAATGAGAGTTGCAATCCCTATGCAGATAAAAGTGGAATAAAATATGGATATTGAAAAGGCATGATCACATTCACCAAAGTTATACTCAACCAATACACATATTGTATGCGAATATTCCGGGAACACATGACCCATCAGAATGCTTGGCAATAAGGTTTTCCAGATACACCGTTTATGTTGGTTACGTAGGTCACCTCTCAGCAGGACCTTTCCGCAGAGACCTGATATGCCCCCTGCGCCGTCTGAGCTAGACATCTCCAAACAGGTGGGAGCATAAGCTTTGCCGATTTTACAGATAAGTCTAACTAAGTGGGAGGTTTGTCAAACTTCTGCACGGACAATGCTTCCGCACAGAGTGAGTGAGTGACCATCTGTACAGCAGGCTGGCAGGGTAAAGGCTTTTTTTCTCAGGCAGTGGCTGCTTTAGAAAATAAACTGTAGGACATTGGACTTCTTTTGTTTTGATGCCCCTGGAGCGCACCACCAGACGATGTAGCACGTCTGCTGGTGTGAATAGGCCCTGAAACTGTTACAACTTTAAGATTATATAATATTATATATATATACCGTGGTACCCAACACTTTCCCATAATGGCCACTGTGTATCATGGCAGATGTAGCTAAAATGGAAAGGAGTTCAAAAAGTACAAGGTTTACTATGTTATAGGTAATATCTAGAAATGTTATTTGTGCCTAAGCAGTATCCTGAAACTACCTTTTGTCTGGAATTCCTCCTGACAAATAGCAGTGCACTTCCTGTTATGTGAGCGTGCCTAGGCACTTCTATTCTGTAGCCTAATGGCGATATATCTGCAGGATAAGATCTAGGGCACCCCTGACCACTAGTCTCAGGGGATTTGGAGTGAGATTTGGCGATGTCATTACTGTACTGCTCACTGTTCTCCCCGCTGGAGACTATGACCTGAGGATGCAGCCCCCTGCCTCTACCAAGATGGCCACTTCCGCACAGAGGCACACAGCAGAACAAGGCATGGTATGCTGGTAATGGGGAAAAGATCAGCTACAGGAGACCACAGGCAATACTGCTGACGGGAACTTTGCCTTCTGCCTTACTATTAAGAGCACAGCTTCTAAAGTTTATTTCATTCATTTACAAAAGGCCCTTAAACCAAGAAAAAAAAATGGGATTTCATTTAGGCTACTATTTGCATAGGGAACACAACAGAAACACTGAGTAAGCTGAGGCTTGAGCTGTAGAAGAAATGACTCACAAGCCATTTTTTTTTCTCTTTAGCTTTGGATAGAATAGGAATGGTTAAGTCTTTTTTTTTTTCTATTCACTTGCTTTCTCAGAAACAGGAAGTATGAGGAAATGTCTTTAAAGCATTGCAAGACTGACAGCCACAGGCATAACTCCCAGAAGCAGATGCATGATGATATTTGTAGTTTCACAGCAGGTGGTGGGCCGGAGCTTGGCTACCCCTGGTTTTGGTGGTTAAACGTTTTACAGACTTTTATTTGTGGCTTTACACCTACTTTAACTGAACACAAGATTCTAACGTATGGGGTCCCCCTGCGATGTACTTTAAAAGCAGATCAGCCCTATACACAAAGGCCAATGAATCTCCCATAGCTGAATCCTTCTTGAGAACCAAGGTGTGGCTCTGTGTGTGTGCTCAGCATGTGTCCGGGGAGAATTCTGGAAGCGGGGTGAAAGGAACAATGACCCGAGGCGCTAGCACCTCAGAGACAAAATTCACCAAGACATTCTACAGAGCGGTGTGAAATGAGAGAGGACAACATGTGAGCTCAGGATGAGACGGATGAGAAAGAGGAACGCGGCGTACATAGAGATGAGAGAGGGAGCTCATAGTTGAAGAAATCAAACCTTTACAACACAATGTTACTAAACTCAACACATCAGTTGGATTCATGCATACAG